TATTTTATTTTAAAGAATATACATGGGTGTGTAATGCAAGCCGCGAGAGAGAGAGAGAGAGAGAGAGAGAGAGAGAGAGAGAGAGAAAATTTTATTTTGTAATATAACGTAAAAATTATTAAGCTTATAATAATGAAATAATTTCAAGATTTTTACGTGAAATAAACGTCCCTTGCTACATGCTTAACGCCCGTGGAGTCCTTCGCCCTGACGTGTTCAACGTTCTCTGTGAGGAATAAGGTATACGTGATATATTGGCAAACGGGGAGCAAACTATATTCTGCCGCGATGTGCAGAATGAAACTACGCGGCGATGTCGGACACGTCGGCTGTCAGCCATTCAATAGTTAATTTCCATTCAACTGCCCCGCGTCGCTGGCAATACCGTGCGAGCAGTACCGAAGTATCACATTATTTTTCACATACTTTACAGTTTATACACATTTTTCTGTACTTTCCAAGTTGCATTTTTTAACGACTAAAACAACGCAGGTGTGTAGTGCACTTTAAATGTCTTTTCTTAGAAAGAATAATAAGTCATTCCATGGAGTAATGTTTGAAATATTTTTTAAGAGAGATGTCAGGATTATTTAAACAGAAATATGATTCATATTCACATAAAAATTAATTTTTTGTAATAATTTCGCTATTATTACTATTCTGGTTACATAGCTAAGAACGTTATCTATTTTGTTCCTTAATTTGTTGAAACAATAAAACATTTTTTTCAGTTTTTTTCCTATTGTATGGTATGTATTTCTTAATTTTATAAATTTATCTTTATATTTTTCTCTTTTCATGCTGTGCAGTATATTTAATAATATTCCAATCTGCAATATAAAGTGGTTTTGAAACCACTAACTTCTATCGTGTGCTTGCCCAAGTAATTTCTCAAAAGTGAATTCATGTGCTTTATAGAAACAGCAAAAATATATTCCACATTATTTTGTAAAAAAGAATTCTCATTTATATATTGTTATATTATCATCACTGAAACAAATTATCTGATATGTCAGGGTTGAAAAATAAGCATTACATAATGCTGTTAAAGTTGTAAGTTATTTTTTGACTGTGACTATTTAGTAAGGACATTAATCTTTCTAAATATAACTGTAACAATACTGGAGTTTTTTAGTAATAGTAGCAAAAATAATCCAAACTTTTATGATTAGTTTGTGAACACACGTAGAATACATGTACATGAGATAAACAGCATCAAACTGTCAAAGAAAAGATCTTCCAAACTTAATTAAAACAGTACTAACTCAGTACTTGTAGTAACTCATTACTTTATGTATAACAATAGTACTATTGAGTAACTTTTTAAGACTAGTAACGATAACAGTAAGTTTTATTAATAAAATAAGGAATCTTGACGTAGTGCTTTTTAGATTAAAAATTACTTTTTGTCTACAACTATTTAATAAAAATGGTCATCTTTTTAAATGTAATTATAACAGTAACAGAATTACATTTCTTAGATAATAGTAACAAATATAACTGGAACTTTTAAGATTAGTTTATGAATACATGTGGAATACATGTATATGTGACAAGTGGTATTAAACTGTCAAGAAAATAATCTTCAAAATTTGATGAAAACAGTACTAATTCAATATTTCTTGTAATAACTCGTTACTTTCTGTATAACAATAATGATATTAAGTAACTTTTCAAGATTAGTAACGGTAACAGTAAGTTTTATCAATAGGTAATAAGGAACCTTTATATAATGTTTTTTAAATTACAAGTTACTTTTTGTTTGTAACTATTTGGTAAGGAGATTAATCTTTTTAAAGATATATATAACAGTACTGATATTTCATTTCTTGAGCAGTAATAACAAATAATTTAAACTTTTATGGTTAATTTGTGAATATATGTAGAATACATATATATGAGGTAAGCAATATGAAACTGTCAAGAAGATAATCTTTAAAACTTGATGAAAATAATACTAACTCAGTACTTCTTGTAATAACTCATTATTTTCTGAATAACAATAATGGTAATAAGTAACTTTTCAAGATTAGTAATGATAATAGTAAGTTTTATGGGTAATGAAAAACCTTAACGTAATGCTTTTTAGGTTAGAAGTTATTCTTTGTCTACACTATTTACTGAGGACGGTAATCTTTTTAAATGTAATCATAATAGTAACAGAATTACACATTTCTTGGTTAATAATAACAAATATAATTTAAACTTTTAAAGTTAGTTTGTGGATACATGTAGAATACATATACATGAAATAAGCGACTTGACATCAAACTGTCAAAGGAAGGATCTTCTAAACTTGATAAAAACAATACTAACTCAGTACTTCTTGTGATAAATCATTACTTTCTAAATAAAAATAATGGTAATGAGTAACTTTCCAAGATTAGTAATAGTAACAGTAAGTTTTATGGGTAATGAAAAACCTTAACGTAATGCTCTTTAGGTTAGAAGTTATTCTTTGTCTACACTATTTACTGAGGACGTTAATCTTTTTAAATGTAATCATAATAGTAATAGAATTACACATTTCTTAGTTAATAATAACAAATATAATTTAAACTTTTAAAGTTAGTTTGTGGATACATGTAGAATACATATACATGAAATAAGTGATTTGACATCAAACTGTTAAAGGAAGGATCTTCTAAACTTGATGAAAACAATACTAACTCAGTACTTCTTGTGATAAATCATTACTTTCTAAATAAAAATAATGGTAATGAGTAACTTTCCAAGATTAGTAATAGTAACAGTAAGTTTTATGGGTAATGAAAAACCTTAACGTAATGCTCTTTAGGTTAGAAGTTATTCTGTGTTTACAACTATTTACTGAGGATGGTAATCTTTCTAAATGTAATTATAATAGTAACAGGATTACACATTTCTTGAATAATAATAACAAATATAATTTAAACTTTTAAAGTTAGTTTGTGGATACATGTAGAATACATATACATGAAATAAGCGACATCAAACTGTCAAAGAAAGGAAACTAAACTTCTAAACTTGATGAAAACAATACTAACTCAATACTTCTTGTGATAAATCGTTACTTTCTAAATAATAGTAAAGGTAATGAGTAATTTTTCAAGATTAATATTGATAATAATTTTATCTCAATAAATAACCAGTAATGAGTAACAGCATGTTATATTTAATATGTAGCTTTTCCCCTTTGTATAATATAGTATAATTATTATTGTACTACATATTATACAATCTAATATAAGTAATTTATTATATTTTTTTAAATATGTGTATAAAACTCTGTAAATTTGTTCTTTTAATTTGAGAGTTCATTGATCCAAATTTCTATTTCTTTCTTGAAATATATATATACTTGATCCAAGGTATATTTCATTCTGTATGCATGACACTTATGACCTAATTTTATGTGAGTTTTCTTAGCAGAGACTTCTCTTATCTTCTCTTATAGTTTTCTATCTCCTAGATTATCAGCCAGATCACATTGCAAATGATTCTCCAGTTTGACAATTCACAGGAATATATCCAATAATTTTTCTCTCAACATCTTTAGGCATTCAATAAACACATTTTTCATGAGATTGTTGAGAAAGATGCACTAATATTTTAATATAATTAACAATCATGTGTGTATTATACAAATTTTATGCTTTTATTTCGAATGTCACTTACGTCTTATTCTCATTCTCTTATTTATGGAAAGCACCTAGCTCAACCTATATCTCATAGCATCTCTCAGAACACAAAAAAAAATAGAGCGCTGATAGTCATTAAGTCTACATTTGTGCCTGCGTCAAAACTTATAATTTACAAAATGCCAGCTAGATTCATTAAATAGCTATAGAACTATCTATAATTATAATGACTATAATAATAAAGCGACCATAAGAGACAATGCAAAAGCAGTGCTTATTATCAAGTTAAAAACCTGTATATCCTGTAGTTTGCTGCATTACAACTTTGATGAGAACTTTTTTTTCATGCCAATTGTAACATCTAAATTTATAATTAATGATTTTAAGCTATGATAAATTTTATATGTATTTTGCAAAGAATCCGAATTATATCTAGTTTTAATTTCTGATCTCAATGTGTTGATTTTATTATCAGACTAAAACATTACTATTCTAAATGTTTATAATGATCGTTAATCTGACACCGCATTTCAGTCGACACGTTCCGCGTCGCGATGAACAACAGTCGTCGACAATGTAAATATCCAATTTATTCAGAATTACTGTCCGCTTGTATCGGGATTATCAATTTTCGGAATAGAAATAACGTGACGCAGAGACCGTGCGATAATGCCGCACGCGCGAACGCGTGCTCGGTATCACCGTAGTATGTAATTAATGTGGAAACGTAATGAATTTAAAGCGGAACCGCAGTTTCTCCTCAGCATTTTCAGTGTTTCGACACTTGACTACGATCCGTTGGAAAACATCAGATAATGCTGATAGCAATCAATCAAACTTTGAATTCCCAATTATAAAAGAATAATGACAATAGACTGAGCTTTTTCAAATTCGACAGTTTACGTTATTGTGAGCTTGCAAAAATTCATCGAATTTTTAGCTATAAAAATGTTGTATTATCAATAATATTCTGTTATTAATAATAACAATAATATATTTAATCAGAATAACTGCCAATGTTATTCATCTGCTGTCTTTTAAGCAGTTGTCTAATTGTATGCTTATAAAACAAGACGTTTTTCGAACCAATGAAATTATCAATAATCCGACAAACTCTCGCTCAAGTTTCTAACAATTAAGTGAATTAATTCGCGCCATAGCTATTTTTTTACCATTTGTCGCGACAAAGCCTCGATATTTCCGTGTGCAGCTTAATTAGTTCGCGTCTAGCTTGCAGAGAAGCTCACGCTAAGACAGCGCACGAGCTTAGCCGCTAAAAGCCCGGCTAAAAACTAGCGCGTACATCGTATCTCGTGAATATCTTAAGAGGCACTTAATGTACTAACATCTGACTCTGTATGGCCGTTTGATTTGTTGCAGAGGGCAACAAGTGCCCGACCCCAGGCTGCACGGGGCAGGGTCACGTGACCGGACTCTACTCTCACCATCGCAGGTAAGCAATTATCGGTAATTAACCTGCGCTCCGCACTCAGCCACGGCCGATTACACACCTACGCGGTTTTACCGGAGAATCGAGCGGGGTCGTTACGCAGGAAACCGACGTGAATAGGCCAATTCGTGACCTATATGTCGGATCTTGTATAATACGTTGAAACGATAATACGTTGTATATATAATATATTGAATGATATTATCAATGATATTATCATTGAATGTTTATGATAAATTATACATTGTACACATCAATTTTGATAGTAAGAGGATGAAAGAAAACGTTCAATTTGAGCGCAAAACCTAGATGTAATTTGAGCGCGAAGACACGATATAATTCTAAAAAGAGAGGCCGTAATCAACCGAAATCTGTGCATTTTTTAATCGTTTCCGATGTATTCGCAGTCTTTCCGGATGCCCACAGAAGGATAAATTGACTCCAGAGAGTAAGTACTTCTTCGTTAAGCCAATTACTTCTTATCGTAGCTATATAGTGCATCTTCTTTTTGCGAGAGTGCCTTTTTCTCACGTTACGGCGAGGAAGTGGAGGTGTGAATCGTCGACGAGAATAATTTTTTTCGCACTTCACGATCGATAACGCATAATTAAAAAGTACATTTCATAAAATCGCCAAAATTCTTGGAATCCAATCGTATTCTAATGAATATTCGCACGTACCTCTATTTTCCAAGTATTTTTCCGAGTAACATCATTGAAATCCCTTCGTGTCTTCGTTTTACACTTTCCACCGATTGACTATTCGAGCTCTTTTCAAACAATTCGTATACAGTCGTGAAGACTTGAAGATCATATTCTTCAAATAGCGATCGCAGTAGCCTGTCGGTGACTCAATTCGCTCCCCCTCTGAAGCATTGGCGATCGGGCTCGTCGATCGTTCGCGAAAGAGCATTGTTCTCCGCCGCGGCTTCCTCGCCTCATTAAACGCAACAGAAGTGTACCTTTGATACACGAGATCAAATTAGAAAGGGAAAAAAATAAATGTTTTTTTCTCTGAGTGACGAGCGCGGTGCACGCGCTCGCGTGTGTGCGCGTGTGCGTGTGTGTCTGTATTATTGTCTGTTGTATTCTTTGCGCTTTTCGTTTGCGGGGTAGAGAGCTTTATTTATTGGGTTATACTCTTCCGTTTTAATTTACCGTTCTGTTTGTAGTTCATTATAGTAGAGAATTATCACTACACTCGAAACTTGGTTGTGTTGGTCGTGCCTACGAACCCTCTGGAGAACTCGAGACACGGGCGGCGCGACGAGCCGGCGTATGCGCACACGCCGGGCATTTCACACGGAGGACACTTGTGCGATTGAGTATAATTACGCAACGATCGGTCGAATGATCGATGCCGAGCTTCCCATCTCGACGTTACGACTTTCTCCACAGCGACGGAGATAGCACCGGTCCCTCGTTAACGACAAATTCAGCGGTTCTGCAGAGAGTATACGCGTAGCCATCTGCGTGTACACGTGTAGATATTACAGTCGCATAATTTTCGTTTCCACTTATGGTAAGCTTGTTTCCTCCCGCCCTCCCTCCCTCCGTCTCTTTCTCTATTTTTTTCTCTGTCTTATTATCTGTCTTTCTGCGACTCCCTCATCGTCGAAATCGATTTTGCAGTTTGTTCACGCGTTTCTGCACGACGGAGAGACGTTCTCATCGACGCGGCACACCTCCCCTCACACAGATTTTGTGAATTTTTGTGTTATCATTTTCTATCGATTGATTGATTAATTGATTGTCTTTACTTGTGTTTCTCTCTACCCGCTCAGTATACTTGATTGTACTGTTACACGTTGTTTTGCGTTCCGTGGTGTGGCAAGGGGACACAGCGTACTTCAACCCCTTACACTCTATGTCTTATGTTTTTCGTTTTCTCCTCTCATGAACGCGCGCTACGTGTACAACTTCGACTCTCTCTCTCTCTCTTTTTCTCACTTCTCTCTATAAACGAGTCTCGACTCGTTTGCTCACTCGTGAAGAACGACTAACCGTATCATCGCCTAGAGCTAGAGACTCCGTTTCCTCGTTCAGCTTTTCGTTCCCTTTCGCGGGGGCGGGAAACACGCGGCGTCCAACATTCCCGGAGATAATTATACTCAACGCATCAAGATAGCTCGACTTACGGCACCACCTGCCGCGTGCGTGTGCGCCGTGTCTCTAATTGTGTGTGCGTAACAAGACGTGAGCGTGCTAAGACGTGTCTGTAACCACGCCGCGTGTCTCTGGGTTCTCGCAGTTCTGGCGATGCATGAGACTATATTGAAATGCCCAACGCCTGGTTGCAACGGCCGCGGCCATGTCAGCTCCAATCGGAACACGCACAGGAGCCTGTCCGGATGTCCCATCGCCGCGGCCAATAAGCAGGCCGCACGCGAGGCACGACACAAGGCTCAAGGTAAGGCAGCACCGGTCACCCACGTCTCGTGTGTGCGTCCGGGTTGATACGGTCTGGACACGAAAATCCCCTCGCGCGCTGCCCAACGCGACGAGATTAACGCTTGACCGCTAGAGACAAGAGTAGAGGCTGTAATCTTGCGCGTAAGACACGCATCTCGTTCTTCGGAGCTCTCGGCCTGATGAGATCGCGAGGGTGATCCCCGCGACGATCCCTGCGCGACTTCATACGACACGACGCGCGAATGTGTTAGCTGACATACCGAAAATTATCACGCATTTACGTATCGCATATCGATGAGACGTTCGGAATAATACGCTGCATTTACATCTACTTCTAAGAATCGGAGAAGTATCTTTTGGTTTTGAAAAAAATATTGGTTCCCTGTAGATTTTCAGTCGACTCGAAGACTCAGATGTAATATCAATGGGCCAGTTCGAAACGTAACGATTTGGAAGTCTCTCGCTCTGCGAGAGAGTGAATCTCAGATTCTGTGACTCTTTATAGGATCAATGTAATTGTCAAAGCATTTTATTCCCAGTAATTGAAATCAAGTAAAAATCAAAGGTACCTTTGACATTCTTTGAAAAAGATTGTAGCTGGTGTATGACAATCTTAATTTAAGGGATGTATTATGCGTTTCGCTCAAAGACACAGGTTCATTGAGTTGTCGTCCCTTTGAACTGAGCCATTGAGGTGTCTTACTGCGATCGACAGCTGCATGTTACTTGATATGGGACTAGCGAGCGTAACAATGCTTCTTAGTAGAAAAGAGTAGTATTTGATTTGACACGAACGTCGATCCGCACTGACACTTGAAGTTTGCGAAAGAACCGCCGCGTGTCCCGCGTATCCCATCACACCTGTGCGATTAAACACGTGACTTTCCGTGATAGTGCCGGGAATACCGCCGGAATATATCAGCACGAATCTTCTGCCACCATCGATGGACACAAAAAGCTACTCGCAGTACGGCTCAACGACGCAGGACACGAAGCCGGTGTTGAGCAGCTTGACCTACGACTACTATTCGACGACGAAGAACACCGGGATCAACGTGAAGCCGCCGAAGACGCCGGAGGAGAACAGCACGACGCGGCCCACCAAGGTACCCAAGACGGAGAACATGACTCTCAGCAGCAGTTGCTGCAACACTCTCTCCACGAGGAACCAGAACACGGGCGAGCTGCTGGTTCCGAAGACGGAGGACACCGCGTCCTGTCGCGTCAACTCGCCGCCGCCACCGCCGCCGCCCGCAGTACGACAGACGTACGATTCCTACATGAGTCAAGACTCTAACTCCTCGTCCATGTCGTCCATGGACGCGATGGGCTCCAGACAATCCATAGGCGCAACGATCCACCATCCTAGTCAGCACCCAACGCATCATGTTCTGCCGATGCAACCGGTCGCCTACCCAATGCCGATGGTTGAGGATACCAGAATGAGCCATCAAATGTCGCAAAGATCACCGTACGAGCCTACCGCGATGATGGCCGCGGCGGCTGCCGCAGCTGCGGCTGCGACCACCACGGACGACCTGTACCATCACAGATCGACTGAACACGCGAGAGCATACATGCATCCGGGCGCGAGCAACATCGCGCGACCAGTAGTTACGTACTCCAATGACATTACGGCCGGCAGAGGCTACGAGAACGCGGTGGTGAGCGCGGCTAATCATCGACCTTACGATCCTGGCACCACCGCGACCTACGAGAGATACGACACGCAGTCGTGTGTGCCCATCCCGTCGCAGCAGCAACAGCAACAACAGCAACAGCAGCAGCAGCAACAGCAACAGCAGCAGCTTCACTCGAGAGCGAACATGTATTATCTGGGTCAGACCGGTATGACGCCGGAGGAGCAGGAACGGGTTTATCATCAAGAGGCAGCGGCGGCCGCGCAACAACATCAAATGGCGATGGCCGCCGCTACCGCAGCCGGAATGATGAAGACAGAAGATGGTAATTTGTTCGAAATCATCCCCGCAGCTGCTCAAGACTCGGCGGTGCCTAAACGTTGCGTCTCTGTGGATGTTGCAGTGAAGTGTGTTACGGTCGCGCAGGTGCAGCAGATGCAGAAACCTGGTGGACCGCCCACCTCACCTGGGGGATCGGTGATGGACTTATCTACCTCCAGTGTTACCTCCACCAGTCCGCAGGTGAGTTAAAACACCTTGGATGCTCTCGTGAGCGCGCGGGAGAGCACTTTTGCCGCGACACTCGAGAGTGGGCAGTTGGGGATTTTTATCGATGACGTGTCGCGGTTCGCAGGCGCCACCCTACGGCTCGAACAGCCTCAGTCCGCAGTATGGAGGAGGACAAACGGTGGGAAGCAGCCCTCAAGCCGCAGCAAGTCCCCACTTGACGGCCAGCCCTCAAGTCCCTAGTCCTCAGGGTCAGACTCTGGATCTCAGCGTCAATAGACTTCACAGGTACGCGATGTCTCTCGTATCTCGACGATAAATAATTTTTAATTCGACTTCCGACTTTCAAAGCGAGCTCCGTTTAACACAATGACAATAGTATTTTAATGCTCAATTAAATTTTTAACTACCAAAGATATAATAAATAAATGCAATTCGCGATATATATATATTTTCCTTATTAGCTACATATTTCATTTATTAGACGCAATTGATTGTATTTTATACTTAAATTAGTGAAACGCGGCAATATTGCCACTAGCGACCTCCATGGCAGTCAACGTGTTAAATTTAATAAAGATACTCCTTCAGAGACTCGAACTCTAAAATATAAAAAAGGAACCTGAGACAATCTGGCGGATAGTCTAATGTAAACTTCTAATGTAGTCCTATAAAGTCTTTATAGGACTCTGAATAACATGAGATAACGTTGCCTCTATTTCAGTGGTGCGCCCAGTCCGCAGTATTCCACCGGCCACGGTGAAGCCGTGGCGGTTCCGGTGGGTCCGGGTTTCCCAGCGCCACGGCCGATCGAGGAGCAGACCGAACCGGTTGATTTCTCAACGGCGAACGAGCCAGTCAATTTCAGCGGAGGTCCGGGGATCAGGCCTGTTCCTGGGTTTCCGCCACCCGGGGTGCACGTGACGGCGTATAGTCGCGAGAGTACGCCCGACAGCGGGGGTTCCCACTACATGGACGCTTACCGAGAACCCACTAGTGAGTTATCATCGTTTATCGGATAACTGCGCGGGCGATCTATGATCCGAGCGGCTTTATGACCGTTCTCCGTTGCGCTTGCGCTTGACGTTGTTCGTCGCAAAATTATAAAATTCAAGTCGCGGAATAATAATATTCAGAAAATAATATTCAGAAAATAATGTCATGTTTCTGTCGAAATAGCGGAGGATTTTAGCGTCACGGTAACCTTTGTCGCTCCCCTTCACGTCGGAATTTCGCGCGACGAACGTTTTGCGTCTGTCGAAACGTTTGCAAAAACGACGACGTCTCTTGGCCTCGAAATGTTTCCGCGCCGCGCGGCGTACACGCGGCATAATTGGAGAATTCGCCGACTGCGAGAAAACGCCGACGAAGGCAAAGCGGTTACTGCGACGTACGATAATGCCAGGTGAAGATGGGACAGGGCGAAAAAACGAACGGAGAAGGGCGCGACAACATGTCCTTAACGCTATAAATTTTACTCGGTACACGCGGCGGGAGATACACGCGAAGCGTTAATGTGTCCTTACACAGACGTCGTGTAACGTCAGGCGATCGCGGGGGCGACGACGAGGAGGCGCGTGGACGAGGGATTCGGAAGAGAACAAAGAGCCCGACGCCCCCGGGGGTCGGCAAGGGTGGCGAGGGACGTAGGTGGGCGTAGGGGACGATACGCGGTTACAACCGTCGAATAAAAATTCACCAGAACAGTACATGGACTGCTATAATAGGCACCTATGGCCGAACTCTCATTTTCCTCGGTCTCTCTGTACCTTGGCATTCCAAACCCGCGGCCCATCTCTCCCTTCCATCCCCCCTCTCATTCGCTCTCTCTTTCTCCCTTCGATCGTCCCCCGTTTTCTCCGTTTCTCTTTCTCCCCCTTCATTCTCTCTCTTTCTCTCTTTCTCATTCTCTCTTTCTCTTTTCCTCTATCCTTCGGCCTGAATGTGCACCGTGCGCACCCTTCCCGTCGAACCACCCCCTGTGACGGTACACGGCCATTGTTAATTATCAATATTTCGCGTACACGTAGCGCCGGCAAAAGTCCGGCGCGGCCGATATTGTGCGGACTCTGACGCTGGGGAGTAGTTATTGAAATTGAAACATTCGAGCACACACAGCGCCGTGTTCCCCGGCCTCGACACACACAGGGCCGCTGTGTTCACGCGACGTCGAGCGCGCGAGCGCACAGTCGGCCTTCCATCCGTCGGCTATTTGCACTGCGTGCTCTCTCGACAAAATGAATTCTTGCCAGTAAATAAACGTGTAGATTTTACAACAGTTAATCAAGCAGCGGGCTGCTCCTGTACCGCGGCTATGTTCGCGCTATTTCTGCGTCTGCCATTCGGCAGAGCGCGATTACATGACACGCGTGTATGTATTTGCGCAATGTCCTAGAAATCATGACTTTTCTCGTAAAGTCGGATTCAAGATAATATTTTTGGCTTTTGATGACACTTCCGATCGATATTGCGGCGTATCGACTAAAAAATTTTTTAAATTTAATATTAAGTATATCAATAATCAAAGAGATATTTTTAAGACAAATATTACTATTTAATAAAGATTTATAAGAAATTTTGACTAGAAAAATGTTCTTCTCTATCAAATCTATTTTGTATCTATCGAAAAATATTTCTATATCAAATCTGTCGAAAAATTAATAAATTTGAGAAGATTTTTAAAAATTTAATATTAAATATCAATTACATCAAAAAGATATTCTTAAGATGTAAATAGAATACTTAATATACTAAAAGATTAATAAGAAAATTTGGCAAAAAAAAATGTTTCTTTCTATCAAATCTATTTTGTATCGATCGAAGAAGATTTTAATTTCAAATCTGTCGAGAAATATTTTATAAATGCACACACACACACACACACACACACACACACACACACACACACACACACACACACACACAC